CTGTGCCATCTCCTCCCTGGAGATGCCCAAAATAACCATCTGTGGTGTTAGAACAAAAAATTTGCCTATTGCCTGTTTTCGAACATCCGTCAGCGCTGGTGTCACCTAGCCCTGTGGGAAAGAAGTACCATGGCTCGGCTCCGCAAAGACAACGTCTCGCTTGGGACTTCTGTTTGTCCCTTGGACCTCACCCTTAGTGCCACTTGCTGAGACCTCCTCCGACTCCATAGGCCCAGTTTTGTCCCTCCTTGCAGGAGCTGTCGGCCGGGGAGAGGACCAGCATGGGGCAAATCTGCTAGGCTATCCTGTCACAGTGGCTACAAAAATCCTCCAAAGTAAAAATAAAAATACACAGGCATGCAGAAAAAGCAAAGACACACTATCTCAGACAGGTTGTGCCAATCTGGCAGTGCTGGCTGGTGACATTGCTGCTGAAATCTCTGTCAGTTGCCCAGTGACCTGATATTGGGTTGGCCCCGCTGGTAGAAATCATACAGACATACAGACAGGTGGCATCTTAGATTTTCAGAATTTGGGTAGGTGTTAGGTAGTTTTTTTAAAGCACTGACTGAAAGAATCCTTACGTTATTACTTTTTGATGTATTCAGTACATAACTCTGTAATTATTTCAAAAACTACTTGTAAGTTTAATTGGCATATTCTTTCCTGTTTCTTTGCTTTACATTTTTAGAGAGTCTTTCACCAGATTAAACTATCTCATTTTTAGTGCTGTTATACTCATTAAGTATCTGCCCTATGAGGTACCCATTTATTGTTGAACCAGTCAGTAAAAATGAAGTTTTTTCTAAAGGATATGTCTAATCTTATTTTATATGCTTACTTAATTTAATGAATTTATTGCATATGTCTAAAACAAAGTTAATGTCGAGATATTAACATGCAGCACACTCCTCTATAAATGTTACAGCTTAGGTTACATCCCTGATAGTGGATTTTGGAAAGTGACTGTTCCCAGTGCTTGCTATTATGTCCTCACCTTCACTGATGGCATTCAGTGACGGGCATAGGGACAGTACTGTAGCTACTTTGCCCTTTACTCATCTGATATTTTTACTACTTTTGGCAAGTGTAGCAACAGAAATGATAGCAAATGAAATCATTATGGAAGGAGTTACACTAATTCCAAGAACTACATCAGAGCTTTAAAAACGAAAATGAAAATGAGCAGATAAGACATTTCTATATTTTTCTTTGTTCTGTGTTTTAGATTTATGTATTGTGATGATTCCATCCTTTTTTAGTACCTCATTGCTGTAACAATTTAATTGGTCTCTATCTCCCTCCTTATTATCATTAGTAGAGGGATATAACCCTATCTTTCATCTGTTCAAACTCAGCAAAGCTGGAAACAGATATTTTGTTAAATGTAATTCCTTTTGGTAAATTCATTTCTATCTGCATTGCCCTGTGACCTTTTCATCCCCACCAAGAACATTTCTGAAGGCTGCGGTATGTGAAAGTACAGATTGTGCCTTTGATGTTGAGTTAATTTTAAAAGGAAGACAATAATGAATACCTTATCAAACAACAGAATATATCGTATTGCTGATGGTTACCTGAGGAAACTTTGTTAGGTGTAATTGAGTTAAAATTTTTGTGTTTTCTTGAGAGAAACGTGCCCTGAACATTTCTGGTACCAATTGTTTGTTTTAATTTTCACAGTTTACATCCTGGCTGAGTAGGCTAGGCTCTAAGATTTTTTTTCCCCCATGTAATTTTTTTTCCAACTGGTTTTGTTACAAAGCGTGTTTATAAGGAGAGTGACACTATCAGAGATGGCAGTATCTGACGGAGCGGCTGTCTGCTGCTCCTCGCTCCATGGCGTGCGAGGAAGCGTTTCCCCACAGCCTCCCAAGTCTCTTCCCTGCTTCTGTCATGCCTTCTTCAGAAGCCATTGGAACATGTTTTCTGTAATAAATAAACCACAGGAGGGTCGAGTGAAGTGTCCTCTAAATAGGGTGGTAATTTAAGGTTACTCAGAAACTTCAGTTAATACAGAACACAGCTTTGTGTTTGCTTAGCCAGGCTAATCGCCGCGAGCTCGTTACACCAATGTGCTTAAACCAGCATGTTCCATGTCCTTAAAATTTCACGGGTTTCTGGATAGATCCAATTTTTCAGCTGCTCCTTGGCAGCTTGGCTCTCGTGTTCTTGCGAGGAGGCCCGTGCCGCTGCTGCCGTGCTGTGGTTGGGTTTGGTGGAAGCCTGCTTGAGTCGGTGTGGGAGGCTGGATGCTTCTGCGGTGTCCCGCACTCTCAGGTCAAACGGAGATCGTCCAAGTTGCAGTGCAGGAGCTGCCCTGAGGTAGAGTGGTGGATTTTGCCTGGGAGTTCAAGGATAAGGTGCATGGATTCGGGGAACTTCTCAGTTTGCACTGAATTCGTTCAGATCTACGGACATGTTTTAAAATTAATTTTTGTGCATTGACGGTATGGTTTTCGTTACTTTCTCACAGAGGGTTGCTGAGACTGGGGATGAAGAAGACATGATGGATCAGGTGGTTCTTCTTACTTCAGACTTGTCACATGAAATCTGTGAAGTTTTCTCACAGAGCCTTCTGTGAACCCTTTCCTGGCGTATGAAACGAAGGGGAGCGCAGAGGCTTTCGCTCTAGTGGTTACTGGGCCCAGCTCCTGTGATCCCATTGGTATTGTGTAGTGGCTGTAGTGTAACGAAACTACTCGTGGAGTAAGGTGTTGCTTAGAGTTTTAACAAATTCTGCTAGAAATGAGGAAAAAAGGGAGGAATACAGGAATCCCAAACCCAGAGTAGAATCTTTCTCTAATGGTGGTATTACAGTGATTGGTACCATTTTTCTTACAAAAAAAAGAGTAAATTCAGTTATTTTTCAAGCAACAGAGTTAACTAGCTAAGCATGTTTCTCAAACTTTCAGTAAAAAGCTTCTAGACTATCTGAGTTGACTTCTGCTTGGCTTACATGTTTTTTTGTTATTTGCGAGTCAACACATATCACTCAGTCTTTGTTGTGGAAATTGCAGATTTCCAGAGAGTGTTCATAGACATTTCATAGAATCATAGAATCATAGAATGGGTAGGGCTGGAAGGGACCTTCAAAGGCCATCTAGTCCAACCCCCCTGCAAGGAACAGGGATATCTCCAACTAGATCAGGTTGCTCAGAGCCTCATCCAACCTGGCCTTGAACGTCTCCAGGGATGGAGCATCCACCACCTCTCTGGGCAACCTGTTCCAGTGTTCTACAACTCTCATGGTAAAAAATTTTTTCCTAATATCCAACCTGAATCTACCTCCCTCTATTTTAAAACCATTACCCCTTGTCCTATCACAACAGGCCCTCCTGAACAGCCTCTCCCCATCTTTCTTGTAGGCCCCCTTGAGGTACTGGAAGACCGCTATAAGGTCACCCCGGAGCCTCCTCTTCTCCAGGCTGAACAGCCCCAACTCTTTCTGCCTGTCCTCATAGGAAAGGTGCTCCAGCCCTCTTATCATCTTCGTGGCCCTCCTCTGGACCCTCTCCAACTGGTCCATGTCCTTCTTATGTTGGGGGCTCCAGAACTTACGGATTTAACTTAAATCCAGAATTTACGGATTTTGGGAGTGGGACCCAAGTTAGAAATCAGATTTTAGAAAATAAGGTCAGGCACTGAGGAAGCTCTCTACCTGTTTGATTTTCAAATACTGATACTTGCAGCAAAAGTTTACAGCCTGCAGACAGAGTGTGAGGCTTAGGAAGTGTTGGCTATGGCGTTCAGAAGGGGTACATTTGAAAAGGGGTGAGCTTTTGCTAATAGTTCACAAACAGAGGACAGAGCTAATTTTACCACAAATTGTTTCAGCTACTAGGCAGAGCACAGAAGTTCTTCAGAAAGAAAAATGAATGAGTCGGATCTCACATTGAACAAGTAGTAAATGAGGTGCCAGGCCACAGATTTAAAGATTGCTGGATTTGTAAGTGGAAAGGACGAAGTTGGTGGTAGTCAAAGCTGGCTGCTAGAAATGTTTGCAGTTGAGTGCAGCTGATGCTGTCTTTGCAGCGGTGACAATGGGTGAGCCAAAGCCAGGGGTCAGTGGCAAGTGTTATATCCTTCTGTTGCTTGTGCACATTATTTGGCATAAACTCTTACTGCAGAAGAGGATGTTCAGATCCACTATTTCTGAAGAGAAATATTCTCTCCTGTCCTTTCACTATGCTGAAACAGAGGGATCCAGTAAAACGAAGTCTCGCAAAGCAGTAGTTTTCTCTGATGTGTATGTACTTCTCTACATGTAAATAAAATTTACAAATGCAAATCAAAATTTAGTGAAACTGTATGGAAACAGTCAATTTGGGTGTCCTGAGTCAGACAGTGAAAATGAAAGACAGTTTCAAATTCATTTTGAAATTTTCATTTGAGCTTGGATGAAGCATCCACATCAGCATGTTATGTGATATTGAGGAAGAGCAGTTCTGTTAATCAGTACTTAATGTGTTAATTATAGGCGTGCGCTCATGTCTTCCCTTCCCCAGAACAGATGTTTTTCTTAGGTGTACTTGAGGTGTGTTTTCCCTATGCCAGTTTATTCGCAGTATGAAATTTTTCCTTTCTCTCCAATATAGCCTTATTAATAGCTGCCTAGTGTATACACCAGGTATTATTCGTAAGGTTTTCAAAATATTTCCCCTTGTTTTTATTACATTACTGTATATTATCAGCATTGTCATCAGTTGTCCCCATGGCCAGTGTGCTGAGGGAAGCATTGGATATTAATCTATGAAGTGCATTTGAAGAAATGTCCGGTGATACAAGGATTAAACCACTTAAAGCATTTTCCGCTGAAATATTTATTTTTTATTTTTTTTTTTTTTTTAGTACATGCATCATGAATGAATCTGCCTCTAGTGGAAATGGTCAAGAGTTTGATGTGTTTAGTGCTATGGACTGGAAGGACGGCATAGGTACTTTGCCGGGAAGTGACCTAAAGGTAAGATATGTAATTTTTTTAATAAGCGAAATAAAAACGTTAAATGCCAAAAGAATGCATTTCACAAGCTGGTGTGTAACTATCTCCTTTTCTGAATAAAACGTGAATCTACAGCTCTGAGTTAAGAGACTCTTGATTCAGTTTCTGCCACTGGCACAGCCAGCCGTGATCCCCGTAGGAAGGCATAAATTAGCACTGCCTCACTATGTAGACAGAGGTAATCAAGTGCACAAAATCCATAAGAAATCTCAAAAGTTACGTGTGAAAATTCACTCCACTTAGAGCATTGTATGACTGTATCACTGAGAGTCTTTGTACTGTCATTGACTCTTGTGGCCTCATAGTCTTAGTTCTTTCTTTTTCTAAAAATAGTTTTATTTTTGCTGTGCTTTTGTCATGTGAACGCCTAGAAAAATGAATAATGTGCGTGCTTCTGAGCTTGGTATAGTTTAGAAATTTGAATGATATTGGAATAGTACTTTTAATTACATTTTTCACACTAGTTGTATTTAATGAAGTGTACTATAACAATTTTGTTTTGTCTTATAAATATTTTATGTATTTTTTTATCTGGTACTTTTTACTATGTCATCAGAAGATGTCCTCTGCTGCGTTAGCTGAAAATACAGGTTGGATATTAGAGACTGTCTTGCACCTGTTTCCTGTTGATTATAGTCAATATTTTCATATTATTCCATGTAGACTGACATTGATGAGATTTTCTTGTAGTTTATTTTTTTAAAAGGAATCTCACAAGAAAATGTGGTTTTTAAAAGAACTTTATATTCCTTGGTGCCTGGTACAAATTATGTTGTTCAAGTAGAGTCAAAAAATGTTTGAAATTCAGGACATACATATTGTATGGGTTGTTGTGTTTTTTTGTGGTTTTTTTTTTGTTATTTTTTTAAGTCACAGAACCATAGAATAGATTCACAGAGTAATTTGCTTTGGAGAGGACCTCAGGACATGACCTCTGAGCACCCCATACCTCAGGCTGACTTAGATCAGGTTGCTCAGTACGGATTTGGTTATCTCTAGGGTTGGAGATACCACGATCTCTCTGGAACCTGTTCCAGTATTTGACAACCCTCATAGTGATTTTTTTAGTTTTATGGATGCTTTGTTGGAATTTCCCCTTTTGCATCTTGTGCTTGTGTCCTCTTGTCCTTCTGCTGTGTACAGTGGAGAAGAACCTGGCTCCATATCCTCCCGTTAACTACTGGAAGACAGAAGTAAAATCTCTCCTTCTGTTCTTAAGACCAAGCAAACAAGTTTGCTCAACTTCTCCTTGCATGTCATAGAATCATAGAATCACAGAATGGTTAGGGTTGGAAGAGACCTCAAAGATCATCTAGTTCCAACCCCCCTGCCATGGGCAGGGAAACCCTCCACTATACCAGGCTGCCCAAAGCCTCATCCAGCCTGGCCTTGAACACTTCCAGGGATGGGGCATCCACAACTTCTCTGGGCAACCTGTTCCACTGCCTCACCACCCTCTGAGTGAAAAATTTCTTCCTTATATCTAATCTAAATCTCCCCTCTTTCAGTTTAAAGCCATTGCCTCTTGTCCTATCACTACACACTCTTGTAAAAAGTCCCTCTCCAGCTTTCCTGTAGGCCCTCTTTAAGTACTGGAAGGCTGCAATACGATCACCCCGGAGCCTTCTCTTCTCCAGGCTCAACAGCCCCAACTCTCTCAGTCTGTCTTCATAGCAGAGATGCTCCAGCCCTCTGATCATCTTCGTGGCCCTCCTCTGGACCCGCTCCAGCAGCTCTGTGTCCTTCTTGTGTTGGGGACTCCAGCTACAGTTCCAGCCGGTTTTTATGGACATCCACTGGACTTGCTCCAGTATGTCAGTGTCTTTCTTGTACTGGACCCAGTAGTCTGCATATGGCCTCATCATTGAATAGAGGGGAATAATCAGTTCCCTTGACCTGCTGGCTGCCCTCTTGCTAAAGCAGCCCTGGGCGCTGGTGGCTGTCTTTGCTGCCCGGGCACATTGCTGACTCATGTTTAGCTCATAGGTCTTCTGTAAAGCTGCTTTCAGATAGTCAGCCCCCGGGCTGTACTGGTGCACACAGCTGTTCCATCCCAGATGCAGGGCCTTGCATGTGCTTTTGTAGACCTTCATGAGATCTTGTAAGCCCATTTCTTCAGCGTGTTGAGGTCTTTCTGAATAGCAACCCTGTCCTTCAGCATATCAGCCAGTACCTTCAGTTTGGTAATTTGCTTTTGCATCCTGTATACCTATAGAAGTCTTTCTCGTTGCCTTTGCTGGTTTCTTCTCCAGCTGAGCTTTGGGTTTCCTATTTCTATCGTTGTACACTACAGCAATATCACTGTATGCCTTCTCTGTATAACTTTTCCCTGTTTCACCTTCTGCATGCTTCCTTTTCCATTTGAACTAAGTCAGGAGTCCCTAGTTCATTCATGTTGGCCTTTGTCCACATTTGCTTAACTTCTTGCACGTTGGCATGCATTATTCTCCTGGTGTGAAGTTCTGGAGAGACATCCAGATTTCCTGGGCCTATTTACCCTTCAAAGCAGTCTCCTATATGATCCTGCCAAGCAGGTCACTGAACAAGCCAAAATGTGCCTCTCCTGAAGCCCAGCGCTGCTATTTCAGTGTTTGTTTTGCTTGCTTCTTTCACCATTTCAGACTTCACCATCTCATTGTTGCTGCTGCCAAGGCTAGCATCAGCCTCCACATCCCTGACCAGTTCTGTATTTTTTTAAAAAGTGCAGGCTTTTCAAATTCCTTTCTATTTTAGTAAGTAGTAAGCAACATTGTGTGAAAGGCAAAAATAAAATTGAAGTGTTTGAGGACTAAGAAAGGGAGCAATGCAGGAAAATACAATAATCTCATATAAATTGCTGGTACGTGCTTTGTTCAGTTCTGGTTACCCTATCTCAAAAGAAACAAAACCAAAGCAAAGGTTGGGTCATTGTAGTAGAGGAATGGGAGAGCTTCCATACGAAGCAGGAGAAGGGACTGGGAGGTGTAGCTGTGGGTAGCTTCAAGAAATCATGTAAAAAGGTTCTTAACTATGCCCTGTTCAGGAAAGCATAAGCTTCATTTTAAGGTTGCTCTTCTGGATGGGTTTTTTATTATTTTTATTTGGAAAAAAACAGGTACTTGATTTTTGGACAGAGATTCTTTTTTTCATCCAGGCACTAGGGAAGACGCAGTCGGAGATGTGATGGTAATGTACCCATAATGGTGAAAGACGCAGAGAGAAATGGCCAGGCAGCTCTTTCTGGTCTTTTTTTTTTTTTTTTAATACAAAAGCAAGGTGTTACTGGATGAAACTGAAATGGAGCCATTCTAACAATGACTGAAGGAAGAATATTTTCTAACAATGCAGAATTAGCCAGAGGAGCTCACTGCACCAGAGAGCATCAAGACTCAGTGAAAGACTAGGCGATTGTATAGATACCAAACCAAATTGAGCTGTTAGAATAGTAAGGATTTTGGAGCTTTCAAGAGAATAGTAACAACTCATTTTTGAGGGCTGCCTCTAAATACTCATGGTTAAAAGAGTGACTAATCCCTTGAAGCTATAAATGGGATCGTGGAAGACACATCGTGCTCTTTGTGGAATTCTCAGAATAGGATTAATGTGGTTTACCTGAACTGTCCTGATACCAGAGTATTTTAATATTGTGTCCCGTTCCTGAAGAGGATGGCCTTACATAGCAGTTACTTCTTGTAGGCTTGCATGTGTCCTTCAAAAACTTACAATAGACTTATTCCACTAAAGATATCAAACCATTGCCATGTATTTACATGGAAATGCAGTTGAAAAATCCAGTGAAAACAGTGTAGTAGTAGCAAGATGAACAAATCCAAAGATTCTGTTTTTAAAGCTTGGTAATAGATTAAGAGTGCCTGTTTTTTTTACAATAAATTAGAAGCAACAGCTGAACTCTTATTGCAGACAATGTATTGCTTACATTCTCACACTTAGTTTTTGTCTGCGTAAACTGTTGGGGAAAATTGTCTTTGAGCACTTGGATTTGGTAAATTGTATTGTATGAGCGTGTTTTAGGTTAAAAGTATACCAAAATGTTGAAATACTGGTTTTTAATATAGAAGTTTTGGGGAGTTACCTACCTGAAGTCCTTATTTTCAATTATGCAAGTCATACGGCATTTGCTTGTCTTTACTGCTTGCATGATGAAGTTTCGTGCTTATTTTTACGTATGCACTTTTAAAGAAATCTCCTTTCTTGTGCACTGTATTAACATCCAGCTTCCTCAGGTTATCAGGCAAGCGTATCTGAAGAACCATTCTTTTTAAGAACCGCTTCCTTTTTGTGAATATAAATTCCCTTATGAGTAAGAGCTCATAAAAGCCTATTGTAAGTAGCGTAAAATGCTTGAAACACTTACAAATAACTTTTCTCCATATTTTCTTATCATTGCTTAAGTTTAACTTTTCTTATGATACAGAAGAACAACTAAGTCAGAAATAGTAAATTGCATTATTTCTTTTTGTTATGAAGTCCTGTGGGAAGTTTCATGCCTACCAGACTTCACTGAGATGGGCTGCACCAGAGGCACTCACTTCCCAGTCCTTAATCAAAACAAGGGAGCCGAGTCAGATACCAAGCTTCAGTTCTCAGCCATGCCATGTCTCTTGTGTCTACATCTGTTTCCACAGTGGAAAAATGCTGAAAATAATATTTTCCTATGATTTCGTGCAGTGTTAGATTTCTGTCACCCGTAGTTGAAGGAGGCTGTGGAAATACATTCTCATACAGATTTTGTTAAAACTCGTTAGCAAAAATAGTCAAAAAATAGTTAATACTTCTCGAACGCTGCTTTGAGCATGCTATGTGACAGATAAATAGTGAGTGGTTGTGGAAGACACTAGAAATTCAAATTATACAGGGGATAGAATTAAAATGGTACAGTACGATGCACCGAAGACTGAGAACAAAAATTTTAGCATTGTATATTAGTTCTTTCAAGATGTTTAAATAAAACAGAAAACTTG